CACACACGCTCTTGAGGTATGCTAAAATAACTTTGAGATCCCTATGGTATAGATAATTACACTCACCCCTGAAACATAGTTAGAAACTCTAATGGAATAGTGCATTGGATACCTTATTCCGATAGAGTTCTAACTGATTATTAGTTTCAGGAAGTGGTGGAGACAACAAAGAGTTATGGGTGATTTAAGAAATGTTGCGGGAGCCATGTCACCGCCTAACTCTATATTGTCTCCACCACTAGCTAAAAGTAATAGTGCATTAGAACCCTAACGAAATAACGTATCCAATACATTATCCCATTAGAGTTTCTAACTATGTTTCAGGGGTGAATGTAATTATCAATACCATAGGGACTTTAAAGTTATTTTAGCATAATTCAGGGGTGCGGGTGAAATTTACCCTAAATTTTAAACCGGTAGCTTAAATAATCAACTTCTATTTTATACAAGTTTTTGCAATAGATCAAAGATATTACAAGTGCCCAAATTATTATCAACGGTAAATAGCAGTTAACCCCCATGGTTTGAATTTTGTACACATAACCCCTCGTACGTTTAATATAACACATCCCCACCAACTTAGTGGTACTAAGTAAAAACAATTAATATCCAAAGGGCCAAAGGGGAAATTAACCTCTAGAAAGGGGCTTCAACAGTAAGAAAACAAAATTCAATATTCATTGTTCACTTTTTCACAACTGCAAATCATCGTCTCTCTTCTTCACCATTAACATGGCTTCAAGAATTTCTCGCAAGCTCTCCTTTAATTTCCTGAAGCAATCTCTCTCTCTCTCCTCTAATCCAAATCTTAATCAAAGATCTCTCTTTAATAATCCATTTCTGAACCCCATTTTCATCAGATCTTACACACAGAAACCCACTCCCGAATGTGAGAATCAAGCCCACCATGGAAGATTTCTTCAGATAACCTCGGATAATCCGAAAACCCATCGTATATCATCCGATTACGGCCATTTTTCAATTAACCAACTCACAAATTCAAGCCCCAAATCGCTCGCCCAATCACCGATAAACCCTAGAAAAATTCAAAACCCTTACGCAGCATACGGAAAAATTAGGTTTTTATCAACCTCAAATAATCCGAATCAATCGTCACCAAGCAACGAAACCCCAGAAAATCAAGAATTGAAGCACCAAGAAATCACTGGGCCGACTGTGGAGAGAGATCTATCCCTATTAGCCAATGAAACTCGAGATGTACTCGAGACGATGATGAAGAATGTGTACAGTTTGAGCAAAGTTTTAGCCGGATTAGGGCTCGTGCATCTCGGTTTAGGGGCTTGGATTTCTTACACCATGAATAATTCCCCCGTTGCAGAAGTTTCGATTCAGAGCTTGCTTGCTTTCGGGCTGCCGTTTTCGTTGGCTTTCATGCTGAGACGAGCTTTGAAGCCTATGTACTTTTTCAAGAAAATGGAGGAGCAAGGGAGGCTGCAGATTTTGACACTCACTCTTCAGGTTGCAAAGAATTTGAATACGTTCTTCGTGCGAATTCGCGGGGTTTCGTATTTGTGCATTGCCGGTGCGTCCCTCGGTTTGGTATTCGTCGCAGTATTTAGATGATTTCTTTTTTACTTGGGAGTTGGGATTCATTTCACACTTAAAAGACTATAGAGATGTGTACTTCGTGTTTTGAAGTTTTCTTGGGAAGTTTTGTTTTGGTTATTGATTATATAGATTTTGATTAATGTGGGGCAGTAGTTTATGTTGAATGAATGTTTCGGTTTACGATTACGTAATGTGTTCTTGAAAGATATATATGGAGCATTGCTCTCTGAGATTACTGCATGTACCGAGTGAGTAGCAAGTTTTAGAATTTATTCATTAGTTTAGTGCCCAATCCATTTGATTTTGGATTAGATGTTTTTGCTTGAAACAATGGTTTTAAGTGTTTATCTTCTTGATGGCATCCGGAGAAGCACCATTTCTAGGTGTTATTTACGCGTAAATGACGCATTTCACTTGTGCATAATTTTTGTTGACATTGAATATATGAATCATGAATGTGTGTGTGTGTGTGTTTGTGAAACTTACACCCATCCATGAACTAATTTAGCTCAATCAATTATTTGGTCTTTGGCAAGATGTTGGTAAGAAATACACACACTCGGTTGATTGAAAATGATTTCGACACAAGTATCTTCGTTCGCCTTTTTTTGTGGTGCAAGTATATAAGATTAGCTCATATTTGCACTTCCCTGAGATTCCATATTATATACACTGCGATTTCAAAGTGACAAATAATTTAAAACGAGAAAAAGTTCATAAGCGACGGAAACAAATTGGAATACAAGATCCAATACAAACCAATGAGCGCAACACTTTGAAAATCTGCTCAACATATACCTAATAATTGACATAAATGAACTACCATAGGGCCAGTTTCCAAGAAAATACTACGAAGAATCTGTCAAATGAACTGTATATTCAACACAATTCCAGGAAGCAAAACAAAAAAAAAAACAGAACTTCACAGAATAGTCTTTTCGGTATCATATTTTCTTTTAAATTAAATAAAGCAAAAAGCTAATAACTGAAATGATAATGCCCACATCCAGTTGGGTCCGATATTCACAAATAGCCATAACTATTCATGTGTCTTCTTTTATACTACAGGAAGAGAAAAGAAAAAAATAATAATAAAATAAAATAAATAAAAGAGAGAGAGACCAATTATCCTGGCATCCACACTAAAAATACCCATCTTTTTTTTTTCTTTTTTCTTTGTTCGAGAGAACCTCAAAAACTCTACAAAGAAACAGCAAACTGAAGGAAAAATGATCCCTCAACTTATGCGTTCTCCGAGCCTGACAGATGAATCCGACCAAGCTAAAACAATATAACATGACGATGCTACATAAATTATCATAGGATATAAACCCTGAAATTCATAATTACCCCCCGCCTTTTACTGATCCTCCATATCGAAAACAAAAAAAAAATAGACGAACTAAGCAGTGCCAGTACTTGCATTTGTCTTCGATTCCGGTCGAACGTAAGTTAGACCACGGGTAGTTGGTGGCTGAACTGAGGTTTCCTCACCCTCGCGCTTCCACTGGAAACTCCTTGCACCGCCACCTGGCTTAAGAGGTATACGGGTCCTGTATAAAGCGGGAATGCCTCTGGGGAAAGGGGCTCTCCCAAATCTCGGAATAGCAAAGGGAGATGCTCGAGCAACACGAGGAGGCCTTGTTGTGACAGATGCAACAGTTTCAGTTTGAGCAGCGCTTTTCCTTACAATCTGTACGTATAAAGCTCAAGGGTTATGGAGGTCTTATAAGACAATAAAGAAATCAAGAAAGGTCAAATGTTCGAAAGTATTACTGCATAGTTTTACCGGTTAAAATTTTAGCAGCATTAATTAAGAGAAAAAAGAAAGGCATAACAGATAGTCGATGAAACTAGATACTTAAGCAGTCACCCTACCCTGCTGCTGGAACTTTTTGTAGAATATAATATCGTATGTCTCATGCAATTATACTTTAAAAGAAGTCCCCGATTTCAGGTTATTCACTCTCCTAACATTCAAAGGTTCCCAAGCCATTTGATGATTTCTTTTACATGAGAACTGAACTTCACACACGTAAAAAATAATCCATTTCCCTTTTTTTTCCTTAGATTTCTAGTAAAGTGGATTTGGGATAATTTTAAGTATATTTTGGAAAGGTTGTTCCATGTTTGGTCTAACTTTTCCCCAGCCATTCTCCTTCACTGGAGACGAAAAAACGTGTCTGCCACTTGCAATTTTTTGGGAATGGTATTAAAAAGTCCAAGCATTCACCATAATATTTCAATAAACCAATAACATTCAGGTAGACCATTATCTACTAAGGCCAAGTTTGGTTGGGTAGATTAGCCATGATTAACTAAATAGTTGGACTTTGTTGGATGTTTGGTATCCCCAATAACTTGCCGGGTCGACCCGCAAATATTATGTTATCATGGTTTATCTTGCCTTTTAAACATGTTTTTTGTTGGACCTTCCGAGGTCCAATAAAACAATTGGGTTTCATTAGATTACTTAGTCTTATCTTAGCTAATCTTATCTTGGCAACCAAACGGGGCCTAAATAGAATGCTTTAATCACGTACCTTGAGATTGCGCGACATAAAGTAGGTCCCATCCAATGATAAAGCAAGCTCAGCAGCTTCTTTTCGCATAAATTCTATATAAGCTGACCTGAATATGCAGTGCATTTTAGAATGAGATTTGAAATAGCATTGGGGAAGGAAATAAAGCATCGAAACACCTTACCCTTTTGGTTGCCCAGTAGCTGGATCAGTCAAAATAATAACCTTCAGGACTTCTCCAAACTTATTGAAATGTCGTGAAAGGCTATCCTTAGTGGCAGCAAAATGAACCTAAAACACGGAAAGAATACGTCAGCAGTGATGAAAGGAGAAAGCAAGAAAATAAGACAAAGTCCTAATCCATCAAACAGAAGGTTTAGACACAAACTACAAGCAATTACATTGCTAACAAAAATGGTCCGTGAATCAGCATCTTCAGTTGGTGGACCAGTATTATGTAACCCTGCATGCATAAAACATTAACATAATTAGCGCACAACAGATATGCAAACAGTTCTCAGATTGGTGAAGTGTTGAAACAATGGCCAATAATAGCAAAGAACAAAATATAACCATCTGCCTACTATTTAACTAAGATTGGTCTCGTTCATATGTATTCTAACAAGTAAACATGCACAGATAAGAAAGAACGTATAAACTTACAAGTTGATGTCGGCGTCTTTTCAGGTTGCTGCATAATTATGTCAGGTGTTGCCTACAAGGAAGCAAATCAGGAGAAATGTTGATTAGTGGGATATCAGTATTTAGAAGATAAATTACTACAGATTAAAACAAAAAAAGAAAAAAAAAAAAAAAAGGAAACAAATTCCAGCATGCATGATTTCAAACGTTTCTTACATTTCCATTAGAGGCCACAATAGGATTGTTGTTCTCCTTCATCAACCAAACGTCAGATTTAGTAGCCAAAGTATCACTACCTTGTACTACTTTGTCATTATACGTTTCAAGTCCTTCCCTTTCTTCCTGATATTGAGGTTTCCTCTTGTTCATGCCTACAGCCGAAGCAATTTTAAGGGATGTATTATGCACAGTTGCAGGCTGACCCAGGTCCTTACGTGGTCTGTGCAGTCTTTCATCAACATTTTCAACAGCTCCATACCCGTATGTGCCTGAACGAGATATATCTATTGCTTCTCTTCCTCTGGCATCAAGATCATCATACCCTTCCCCATCATATCCTAAATCGGAATCCATGATAGTCTCATGAAAAGACGACATGTTACTTTCTTGCAGTCTGCTGCTACCATTACGTGGATCATAAGCCGAGTGAAAATCATCCTTTTCGACAATAAAATCAATACCACCCACATCTTCAGCAACATTTTCATATTCTCGATGATTGGTGGTTTCTGAAACAACATCAGTAGTACGACCAAGCCTATCAAACACATTGCGTGAGGGTCTAACTTTGTTCACATCCTTGACTGCTTCTGCCACAGCTTTAATAGCAGCGGAAGACATGGTAGTACGTCGAATTCTTTGAGGGCGTTCTTCCAGTAATGGATCCCCTGTTGATGTGGAAACCACCGAACGCAGGCGTTTGAGTGAAGGCTCTGCTGTTGCACTGGATGGCCTAGGCTCTGCTGTTGCACTGGATGGTCTAGGCTCTGCTGTTGCACTGGATGGCCTAGGAGTACCAACGGCATCACGTACTGCAAACTGCAGCAGCCTTCTTGGTGCACAGACAGTTGGCTGAGAATTTTCTCTCTGCTAAATATGAAGAAAGAAATGAGAAAAAAGAAAAGTAGCGAAAGGACTTCAATTTTTTTTGAAGATAAAAAAGGAACGTAGAAAACAGTTTCTACTTTCAATATAACATGAAGAATTAAACTAGATTATCATATCTCCACATATAATCTAACACTTTTTAGAACAAATGATTTTCAGCATGGAAAGAACTAATTTGCATATGAACAAATTATATTATAAGAGAAATTTTCCCAACAGAATTCATTCCAGACCCGTGGAACATTTTCCTTTTAAGCTTTAGCAAAGAAAGGTAGCCAGGTAAGTCCTACACCAGAGGATCGTACAGTGATAAATGTCAATTCTAAGTGGACCTTGATAAAATATTATATTTTAGGTAACCATGATAGAAGATGAGCATCGGGTTGATATATAAGAGCAAGCCACCAGGGCAGCAAAATATGTACACCCAAAAATCATTGGACTTCTTAAAACTCAACCTAGTAGTTAAATGGAACATATATAATCAGAATATTAGACCAACTACGAACCAGCTATGACCATTTTAAGATTCTAGAAACGGCTGCCACTAGTGAACCATGAAAAGAAGCCCTTGTCAGTTCGAAGGGAGGGGGTCGTCAATACGATTTACTATATGTGGTAAGGGGTTCAAGATTAAAAGGCCAAATATGTGCACCTTCTCCCTCATCCAATATCAGTTCCCATGTACCACGGGTAATACTTAATTTGCATGATTCATTCATGCTAGCTTACAGTTGCAAACAGTATAACTAGTTGAAAGCAGAACACCCAAAAGTCAATGATTTTTTTAGCTTAAAATATAAATTTTGCTAGGAGAATTCTTCCACATGTTGTGTTGTTGTTTTCTGGTCTTGTCTCGTCGTATTTTCAACTTATTATTTACTGTAAGTTACAGCATAATTTCTTTCACATATTGCATTCTCTGGTATGTGGATCCTACAATATCATTCTGCCTACATTCAAATTATATTTCCTTTCTGAAGGAAAATTTCTATTGAGTGGGGATCAAGCTAGGACAAAGATGACACACTACCATGAGCATAGAAATAGTACTTCGTATGTTGGGAGGTCCCAGATGAAAAATGAATTCTTGTTAATAGCTAGATGGAAAAAATTGTGATAGAATTGAACACAGCAATCATCCAAGCTAAGTCGACGAAGGGAGAAATTTGTAAACTTGCATCTATTAATATGTCCAAACAATAGAGCCACCGACCCAACTTAAAAGGTGATTTCAAGAAAATTGAAGAGAGAACTGGTGAAAGATAGCAACTCAATATTGAATAAGCTGAAGTCTAATACATAAACAAACTTTGGTGTTCTGAAATACTATTTCCCAGTACGTCAAATATGAAAAGCTTAACTAACTTGAGAAATACAGTGGAATATACAAGTTTATGGTACAAAAGAACTGGGAGGGAAGAAAATATCACCTTTCTCGACTGTTTCTCCTCAGTTTTTCTTCTTTTCTTATGAATCGTTGGCCTAGGAGAAAGAGATTTCTTAGCTCGACCAACCATCTGATGAGTTTCATCCTGGGGATTTACATTATCAGTGACAGAGTTTAGGGGTACTTCCTTTTCAAACGCATCACTCACTACACTTTTGACTTCCCGATGGCGATGGTGTCCATGTATTTTAATAAAATTTGCTTTATGAAATCCAGATTCAATCTGATGAGACTCAGTTTTCCCAGCCTTGTCCCCTGATGTAGGTTTCTGTTCAGGGGCTCCATCTGGATGTGCTTTTTCGGGTTGCATGTATAGACTTGAATTAGATCCTAAATGATCCCAGAGCCTGCACAAAACAGTCACAATGATTAGAGAGAACATGATGTTAAATACCAAAGAATACCATATTATAGAGCTTTGTAGTAACCTTACCAAGATACGAAAGAGTCGCTATCATCTCCCAAAAAGACATTCAACTCACTCTTCGCCTCATCCTTACTCCTCCCATTTTTTAGCAAAACTATTACATATTCCTAGAGACAAATCTTAGAAGATCAGCAATATGTAAAGACGAGGAGTGATCATTCTGAGTTAGACACACAAAGTAATCAAGTTCAAATTAAAAAAACAACTCAAGTTCAATTTTAAAAGATAGGAAACTTGAATTTTGCAATGATACAAAAACCTAACAACTCGAATGTACAAAAGAAATTAGAAACGACAAAAAGAATTACCGCTCAAGTGAATAATCTCCCAAGCCCCAAATTCAGGAAACTAAAAATTAATATGATGTAGAAAATGAAAAAAAGAGACAAAGTAAATGAGAGGAGGAAGATAATTTGAAGCAACACGAAGGTATTAAACAACACCGCATGCAAAAGAGTGCAAAATAACATACGAGCTTGTAAGATGCTTACTAAAGAATGATTCATGTTCATGAAAAACATCAGTTAGTTAAATCATCATCCTAAATGTATCAAATTTAAGCAAATAGTTCATGCTTCAGAAAGACGCAGATTAGTTCAATGATCATCGTGAAGGCATCATTGCAGTACAATACACCAAAGTTAAGAGCTGGAAATGGCGGGGCAAAATTATGGGAAGCAAAGTTGTTGTCATGAGAAGTAGATTTTAAGAGTCCAAGAAAAAAATTCAAACCTATACAACTCTTAAATTCAATGGAAAAAAATCATTCATCTGAAAAGCAACAAAGAGTGCCGGGATCAAATCTAACCTAAGTATGTCCTAATAGAGAGTGAAAGATAAAAAAAACAATTACAGTGTAATTAACTCAAAGAACAATAAGATTCAGGAACCACTTCTAATAGTATCTAGAGTATCCTTTTCCAATGATGGTGCATTTCTGACTCTTTATCGTGACGAGTTAAAAGGCTATGTCCGTTGTAGCATAAACTAATTTCGGTAATCTGTGACTCTTTATTACTACTGAAAGTTGGGAAGAAAACTATAACTGGTCAATATCACCTATAATATTCAAATTAGAAGCACCGTCACTTAAAATTTCATTAAACCTTGAGATAGCAACAAAATATCATTCCTCGAGAAAAAATGAAGGAAATCATCTACGTGGGAGAAAACAGGTACAAAGTAATGGTCAAACCAGTCTCCAGGTTTAAAAAAAAAAAAAGAATCTTAACTTTTAAGTCAACATCGCAAATGCTTTAGTATTCCAAGCCCTAATCATTCTTAAGCAAGTCCCAGCTGCATTAACTAACCAAGAACTGACTTATAAACGAAATAAAGTACAAAAGGTCTAAAGCTATGTATGTGACTAAGAAACGTATGCAATGCTAATATATTTCCTTTTTGATCCAACTAATTGTTTATTTAAATAAAAAAAAGGAACGTTTTTAACTAATATATTGAAGAAAAATCAATGTTGCTCTTGGTATTCATATTCTGCTAATATCCATGGGTCACTAGTTAGACCTCTTAGTTGAGTCAAGATTTTACTACATCGGACATGGTAATCAAGCCAAATATGAATGAAGAAGCGATGAAATAAGCGAAGAAATAAGCTCTGTAAATTCCTCTCTCAAGTACAACACAAAAATCACATTACGGTGCAATTGTCATCTCTGTCTAGCCAGTTTAGCCAATCGGAAAAAATCACAATTATTAAAGTACAATACACCACATTACACATTGCCTCCACCGAGCGCAGAGTTTGTTTTCAAATTAAACCACTACTAAACTACCTCGAACAGTGATTTTTTATACCACACTGTACAGAATTCGCATCGGAAAAACCGCAATCGACGCATGATTCTCAGCAATTCAGTTCCGGATTCAGAAACAAACAAAAAAAAAATAGATTTCTTACCACAAGTGTATCGTCGGTGTAATCACCCATAAACTCCTTGAGTTTCTCCCCAACATCCTCGCGAAGCCTCGAAACTCCTTCAATTGAGAAATCAACCCCAAATGCCCGATCATCTTCCCCCATTACTGCAGTACCGGCGCAAAATCAAAACAAAAGTTCCCACCCTAAAACCCTAGCAGCGATTCCAGGCAATTAATTATTCAACAAGTAACGCTACTGCTCAATCGAGTTTCCCAATTACAACAGGACGAAGAAAATCGAACGAATGAATTGGGAAATTTTGATTTTGGGGGGATTAATTTGAAGGAACTCTCCGATTTCCGGTAGATTAAACGGTAATTTGTGGGGGGAAATCGCGAGGTAGCTTCATTATTGGGTTTGGGTTGGAAAGGGGTAATTTCCCCGTGAAGGAAGTGAGAGAGAGAAGCCGTGCGTACAGAGATAAAAAGACTTTCGAACCCTACGTAAATTCTTATTTAGACGCATTGGATGGATAGGGGTAAAATTGGAATTTTATTTATAAATTAGTTTTAGGGTAAATTACAACTACCCATGAGTTATGGTCAAATTACGAAACCCTTTTCTGTTTGGATAATTATATATACTCATTAACTATGAATCTTCGTACATCTCCACCATGTCAAATTTTACATAATCATCTAGATTATGTGGAATGTCCCAATTTGAACTTATTTTGTGCAAAAATGCAGTTTCTAATTCACCACAATCTGATATATACAAGCAAAAAAATAGATCTTATGATCATCTAGCTTCAAAATCGGGAGTTTGAATGGGATAAAACGGGTCAAAAAATTGAGAATATTTCATATAATTTAGAAGATTCCACTATATTTGAATTTGCAATGAGACTTCGAAAAAAAAAAAAAATTTGCAATGATAGACGTATAAGAAGATTAATAATTAAGGGATGTGGTTGTACTTACCTAAACAGAAGGGAGATTTTCGTAATTTGACAATACCTCATAGGTGGTTGTAATTTACCCTTAGTTTTATGTGGGTTTTTTTTTCTTGCATAATTCAGGGCCATGAATAGTTTTTTAATATAATTACAAATTAAGGGTAAATTACTGTCACCACTGGAGTATGATCAAATTATAAAAAATGTCCCTCGTATTTGGGTAATTATAATCAACTTCAACAATGAATCGTCTTACACGTTTATCCTTGTGGTGCCAAATTTAGTGGAATTTTCTAGATTATGCGAAATTATTCTCCAGTTTGTATCGTTTTACTCCATTTGAGCTCCACATTTTGAAGCAAGATGATCATAAGATGTGTCTATTTCATAAATATCAGATTGCGGTGCATCAGAAATTGTAGTTTTGTACAAAACGAGTACAAGCTAAAAAACCTTCCACCGAATCTAGAAAATTATGTTGAATTTGACAACATAAAGATGAACGTATAAAAAAACTCATAGTTGAACGGGCTGGTTGTAATTACTCCAACATGAAAGATTTTTAAGTAATTTAACCATACCTCAAGGGATGACCATAACTTACCCTATAAATTAATCTAAATGAACCAAATAATGGGATGGATTGTAAAAATTGAGGAAAACACGTATATATATTTAAGACAAAATGCATTTTGCCCCCTCTAAATTATCATTTTTTTCACTTTCCTCCTTACAAACTAAGAAAAGCGATTATTTCCTTTAAAATTTTGTTCCAGTTGCACTTTCCGCCAAATTACAATGTCCGACGCATTTTTCATTGAAAATTTCATGATTCCGTTCAATTGAAGGGCATTTGAATCATTTCAAAGATGAACCACCATATTAGCTGCTAACTGGAGAAAATTTGAAGATCTCATAATTTTGGGGCAATAATAGGTGCAATTCATTGAAAATTAACTTTTTTTTTTTAATAAAATTAGTGAAATGGATTGTTCGTTTACTAGAAAAAATAAGGACATTAGGAGATTTAGATGAGAATAATGAAATGATTCAAATGCCCTTGAAGTCGACTGGTAAACGACAGTTCCAACGAAAAATACGTTCAGAATTATGATTTGAGCCAAAGTGCAATTGAAACAAAATTGGGTAAATTACACCCACACTCCTGAGGTATGCTTAAATAACTTTAAGGTCCCTGTGGTATCGATAATTACATTCACCCCCTTGAATATAAACTCTAATGGGATAATGCATTGGATACGTTATTACGATAGATTTCTAATGGACTATTGGTTTCAGGAAGTGGTGGAGAAGAGTTATGGGTAATTTAAGAAATATTGGGGGAGCGATACTGGAATCACTATTCCAATACAATCCTAATTATTTATTTATTTTTCCGTTTAATTTAATATATCTCTTTTAATTTAAAAAAAAAACGACAAGAAGTATTATTTTCCAGCCACTAGAAACTAGACACGTGTGATGAGACCAGTAGACGGAAAGCAGAAGATTATTCCTCATCTTTATATAGCTCGTGAACCTTCGTTTCCGTTCATTCAAATCTCTCTCTTTTCTCTCACACACACTAACATATTTCCTGTTCGCTTCTAGGGTTTGTCTCCTTCACTTAGTCTCTCTAATACACAGCAGAAATTGTTATATATGCATCTAGATGTGTTTATATTTATATGAATTTTATTTTTATATCGAGTAATCAGCCTCTGGTTTTTATTTTTTAATTATTATAGTAATTATGTTTTTTTTTTTTTAATTATTTGTTTTATTGTTGAATAACAGGGGATCCCAGGCTGAAACTCTGACAAGTTATTCCCTTTTGTCCCCTCCGCGAACAGGTCAGTATGTATGTATACACATAAGCATAATAGTTTTATTTCTTTTATTGTTATTCTTTCAATTACCCAAATTTTGAAACTTGTTATCTAGAATCTTGTTTATGAAATATACTTGATTCCGGTTCAAATGTTATGTGAACTGAACTTGTTATTTAGAATCTTGTTTATGAAATATACTTGATTCCGGTTCAAAGTTTATGTGAACTGTAACCATCTTTTGTGGAAGGCTTCAATTAGTTCAATTTCATAAATTTGATTGAAAAAATTATAACTTTTTACTATTTTAAAGGTCATAACTTTGGAGATGACAACATATTTGAATTGTACTACAAATCTTCTAGAACTATTTTTGGTTTCTCCACTCGACTTGTGTGGTATCTTTCTATTCATGTGAATTAAGCATCTTGTCACATAACCTTTGGTTTTCTTTTAGTCTTTTCATAGCACATGTTTTGTGTTTTTTTTTTTCTGGTTGTTTTCTACCGGAAGAGAGGAGATGTTCGATATCCAAAGGGAACCTATTTCTAATTTTTTGTTGAGGAGTTTTCCATGGTTCAAAAAAATTTCGGAGCCGCAAGTATCTATTCGACCAACTATTGTACTATTTTTCATATTATATGATTAAATGCATTAAGAAATATTTATAAAACTTATCTATATAAATTTTAGTTAGTATTACAGATTGATGCATATGTTTTCAATGTCTACAACGCAAAGTATCAAATATATGAAAGTATATTTTAGAAGGTATGATTTGTTAGAAAATAATTTTTGTTTAGAAGTTTTTAGGGAATATATAAATACAAAATGAAAAATTTCCTATAGAAAAAAAAAAAAAAAACACTAGAGGACTTTCTTGTTAGTCTTTTCATATCCTCCGTTCATTTGAAACAGTGTCTAGTATAAATAACGGTAATGTCTCATTTTTAAAACAAGTATTATACACTCAATTTCATATAATGTCAAGGTAACTAATTTATTATATAAATGTGATATTTGATTTATAAGGCCAAATTTTATTTCAGACCATTTTTTATTGTCTGAGTTTTATATACTTTTCATGTATCGGATTTCTACAAATATGCATAAGGATCGCGTAAGGATCTTATTTAGGGAATATACTTGATTCGAGTTCAAAACCTTAGAATTGTAAGTAACATTGTAACAATGGTTTGTAGAATGATTTAATTGGTTCAATGGTTTGTAGAATGGTTTGTAGAATGATTTAATTGGTTCAATGGTTTGTAAATGCTTTAATTGGTTCAATTTGATTATGTTGTCACATGCTAGAAGAGGCCGTCGAAGAAGTAAAGGAACTGTTTTTCGTTCTTTCGTTCGTTTGAAGAGTATTCCATGGTTCAGAATTTTCCCAAAGTATTTGTATTTTCAAAATAGTTACCAATCGTTTTTTTTAGGATGCTATTCCTTAAATAGTTTGGGATATCAAACCGAGTTCCAATTTTGCTCTTGAGACGCTTTCATAAATTACAAATACTCTCTTGATGTTTGTTTTCTTTTTTTTCCAAACTGTACCTTGAGTTAAAAACAATTCTTAGATTCTAATACGTGATGATCTATAAATAATGTGCAACCGTAATTGCCAATTTGAGATTGCTTGGTTTTAGTTCTCTTCGTTTGTGGCTCAACTTAACTTGAAACGTTTTATTTGTCAAATCAACATACTATACCTGCCATAGAATCTGCAATCTGCAGTGAAAATACGTGTGACAAAGCTATTCTAGAGTCCCCATTAAGCTGTTGCGTGGATACGTGAAACTTGAGGGACTTTCTTTTTACAGGAAATATCCAAAAAATGGAACAGAACGAGACGGGATGCCAAACCCCTCAAGCTACGATCCTCTGTGTCAACAACTGTGGATTCTTCGGCACACCAGCAACACTAAACATGTGCTCCAAGTGCTATAAAGACGTCGTTTTGAAGCAAGAGCGAGCCGAATTCGCAGCTTCGTCTTTCCAAAGCATCATTAATGGCAGCTCCAAAAATGGAGCCAAAGTTTCAGATGCTGCTACCGCTGTTATAGCGGAAGCAAACGCCATCTCATCTGATTCCATGGAAGCTTCTAGAAGAACATCTTCCGAATCACCAGCGATTGGTGGAAGCGACGAAGCTAATAAACAAGGCCCGAAAAGGTGTGGGGCCTGCAATAAGCGTGTCGGTTTGACGGGCTTCAATTGTCGATGCGGCAGTATGTTTTGTGGGGTCCACCGTTACTCAGACAAACATGACTGCCCCTTCGATTACCATGCTGCTGGCCAGCAAGCTATAGCCAAAGCCAACCCTGTTGTGAAAGCAGAGAAACTCGACAAGATTTAAAGAATTGCAAGTAAGCAAAATCTTGAAATCTCCGTGTTTTTTTCTTCTCATCTATTCGACATGGGTTTGAATTGGTGTTGTGCTACTCTGGTTGAAGATGATGTACTAAGCAAGCAGTCGAAGTGGACTTGGGAAATGAAACTTAGGTATTCGATTGTTTTAATTAAACGAGAGAATGTGTTTTGGCCCTATGGTCTAGTGCTTGTTTGTTTGATTGATGGCTATTTATGGATTGTCGTTTCGCATTAGACTTTCTTGTGGCGCATTTGATCGACTAATAATTTTAGTGGTTTCTTCATGAAATCAAGCACTTGGTGTTACTACAAAAATAAAATCGATTATCCGGTAATGTTTCTAATCCTTTTTTTCTCCCCGAAGCTTTTTTTGCATTCGAAATAAGGGAAACATAGCCTTGGTTGCATGGTTCGCCGGCACAGAACAGTCTGCTGTCGCGGCCACTGCCGTTCCAGTTCCATTGCAACGTCGCGGTTCCGTCGCGGCTCCGTCGCGGCCAGAACGGACAAATTTTAATTAAAATGCTAAAAATATAATATATTTCAAATATATTTTTAATATCAATATTAGAATACAATAATATGCTAAAATTATTAAAAATGCTATATTTTATTTTCTAATTTTTTTTTCAATTCTTTTATTCAACTCTTTTCTTTTTTTAATAAAAAAAACTTATATATACACACAAATTAGATTTAAATAAATTAAAAACAAAAATAAAAACACATATTTATGTTTATTTGTAGTAAAACATATTATGTGATGAATTAATTTCAAATTAAAATGATTATATTTAAGTAATAGAATATTGAAAGCAAAAAAAGTTAAATAAAATTTTAATATTATATATATATTCGAATTTTCTATATTTATTTATTATTTCTATTTTTATATTTATTTTCCATTTTTTAAGAATCAAAGTCTTCAATTTTATTTATTATTTTCTTTAAAAAAAATATTTATTATTCCTATTTCCTTTTCGGTTAAATACATAAATTATAGTCATGTTTTAGTTATTGTTAGTTTCCCCTATTAATAGGGAATTAATGGGATTAATGGGATCTCATTATCCCAAAAAAATAGCTCTTTAACACCAAAAAATTACTTTTCGGTTTTATACATCTCATTTTCCGTCAATGGCTCGTTCCCAATTTTCTTTTTTCTTTTTTTTTAATTTTTTTTCCGTCAAGGTCAGACCGTTCCGGCCGTTCCTGGGCCGTTCCGGCCGTTCCTGGGCCGTTCCGGTGCCGTTTCTCGGCTAAATCTCGGCCGCGACGGTGGTCCGCCGCGTCAAAGGGGACGGAACGGTTTTGTTAGGGATTCCGGAACGGCGGGCACCGTTCCCGTTCCGGAACGGCCGTTCCGGCGCCGTTCAGGCGAACCCTGCTTGGTTGGATAATTAAAGCATATCATCTGTCTTACATGTTTAGGGCATGTGGAAAGATATGAATATGAAGTGTAGCAACCTATTGTAAGTATGGGGACACCCTATCTTTTGTACATTTTTTATTTTTTATTTTATTTATTTTTTATTTGTTATTTTTTATAGAGCAAATTATGGTCAACCTGAGATGTGGCCAAATTATGAAAAAAACTCATTTTGTTTGAGTAATTACAGCCACCTCTCTTTTAAGTATTTTTACATAAAATTTATGTAATCAGCTATTACCGAACCAAATCGTATATTCAGGTCAGTAGACGGTATGAAATGTTGGCGTACGAAATTTTGTTCGGTTTTACCGATTTAACATCCCTAAATTTATCTCTAGAGGGGTATTTTCGTAAGATAATACATAGTTGAAAGAGGTGGCTGTAATTACCCAAACATAATGGGGGTTTTCGTAATCTGATCATAACTCGGAGGTGGCCATAATTTGGCCTTTTTTATATTTTGCTAGAGGGGCATCCTAATAATTTTCAGTAAGAAAATTTGATTTTAGTTTCGTAAATTTGGCCTTCCATGAGGGTGTATATTCATCGTTTATAAATATCAACTTCTACATATGTAGAGTATATATGCATCGATACATATATGGTAGATATATGTGGAGTATGCAAAAGCTTATGTAAAAGTCGAAGTTAGTGGTTGCTGAGTTGAGTAGGGATTACGTGATTATTTTTTAAAGTTTGTGGTATTTGCAAATTAGTTGGAGAATCAACTTAAAATAAAAAAAACAAGTTCAGATGTGCTCTTAGAATTATAGGGTAAGTTTACTTATGTTAAGAAATTATATGCAGAAAAAAGATCATAATCAGCTTTTGGAAACACCACCATAATCTTGTAAAGTTTAGTAAATTGAATTGAACCAATTCTAATGAGTTGTCATATAAATTTTATTATACAAATAATTTTTGAAACATGGGTACTGAAAATGTGAACACCTTTTAGATTAGAAAAGCAAAAAGATGATTGAGAATTTTTTGCCTAAGAAACTAATTGCACATGGACCATTTTTCATTGCCCTACTTCCTGGTCTATGAGGTCCAACTCAATGAAAAGTATCGGATGATTTTCATCGAAACTCAGTGTATATCACTAACGACTAAACACATATAAATATAAATATGTGTTATTATGTATAGCTCAATAGTGATAAACGATCATCCGATGTATTTCACCGGTTGTATGCATCTATGAACCCTACTTTCCAACTTACCAACCAATATGGGCGGCTATTATTCGGCTACTTGTCTCCCTCCAACTTTAATATAATCTGGTTTTGATTATTTTTTAATTTTTAAATTTATCCTTTTTCTATTGGATATTGCCTAATTAAATATTCTTTGGTGATGGGAAAGCATGATTTATGCCCCTTGATTCAACTGCCCATACATATCTTCCATTTAATTTAATTATATCAAGCTTTTTGAGATTTTAATTAATAACAATGTCTAAGTTGGACTTATAATAATTATTATTATTATTATTGTTATGCTTGATTAAATTATCCGTTTTTAACCACATGCTTCAAATTTAGACACCAAATATTTTAATATGCATGAATTATATTCGTTTTATCAAATACATCGTATGTGTAATAGGATACGACTTTTTTCCTGACCCCCAATGACTAGATTCGACGTGGCAATGTCACTATGTGACGCGTTTGACGGGCGCGTGTGAGACACGCTCAAAGTGGGGGAAAGGGAAAGCTACTCATTATGAGAAAGGTGGTGGTCGGAGTGGGCCGGGCGGCTCAGACAGCACAATGCCTTCATTTTCTTCATAATTTACTCTCTTTTTTTTTTTCTTTTGAACACTATTTTTGATTTGACAGCTACAAATTTAATCGAGTTATATTTAGGTGGTGTTTGCAATTGCTTTTTGAAAGTGATTATGCGGTTTTTTTGCTCATAATCTGTTTTTAGGTGTTTGCAAAATCAACTTTTGCTTTTGCTTCTCTTAAAATAATCTGCTTTAAGCTATTTTTTTAAAAACACCCCTAACCCTGCTTTTTCAATTTTAGTTCATTTACCAAAATATTCGCAAACACCCCCAACTTTTAGAAATAAACACTTAAAACTAACTTAAATCACAATCACTAACTTCTGCTTTTAAATAATCATTTGCAAACACCACCTTAATAATTAACAATTAATTATATAAAAAATAGTGGCGAAAATCGGACGGGACGAATGAAATGAACTTTTTTGGAAAAATTTTAATGTTTTTTGAAGGTATAAAACTAATTACAGTTTCAATTTTGAATTTTTAGAATCTAGAAATTCATTTCCATATCAAAATTTATGTAAATTTCGGGATTTTGAAAATGTCGAAAATCGCATGAGTTTTAACATATTTAGAAAGTTTCATAAAACATTTCTAAAATTTCAAAAGTATTCGTAAAATCATAAAACTAAAACTACTGTTAGAATATATTATAATATTTAAAAAATAATTATAATGATTCCAGTTGCACTTGACACCTAATTGTGAATACCGTAAAATTCTAAACCCTCGAACTAATAAAGTCGAAAGTATCGAAAAAACTCCTTTTTTTTACATGATGTAAAATAAATAATATATTATACATATGTGCATGTATTACTTGAAATTGGAACATTCAGAATTAATTTCGAAAATTAAATTCAATTGAAAATCAAAAAATCCAAATATTTTTATATAATTTCAATTTTAATCCAAAAACTTCGAAAATCCGAATTTTAAAAATCAAAATGAAAAAAGTTGTTCAAAAAGCGAACCTTTTTAACTCGGAACGAAAATTAGAAATTCATTTCCCACTTCAACCCCTAGTAATAAATAATAAAGCAAAGTTTAAATTTATATGTATATAGAAATCTAAATATACTATACTTATAAAAAAAAATCTAAAAATACTATAAAAAATACATACCACTAGGCACTAACCGGCTAAAGAATTTGCTAATTTTATCCTACTGAAAAAAGAAAAAGGAAAAATCTTAAAAAATATCAATCAACTTTTTTGTCCGATCAAAATTAAAATATCCTAAAACGATGACGAATTTACGTGTAACACCACGTCAGACTAATCTAGAAAGACCTCCACAATCGTAATTCCAGTAAAACCACGAGGGTAAAACCGTCAAATCACACATCAATTTGACTGATACGCGGCCATTATTCTTTCACCATGACCGACTTCACGCCCTTCAAATTCCAGCCCCTGATCACCACCGCTTTCTCTCTCTCTCATCTCTCAACCCTCCCCCTCTCTCTCTCTAAAAATTCTCTCTCTCTCTCTAGAAAACTTTATCGTAATTTTAAGATCATTTTTTCTGATTTTTTTCTACGATATATTTTTTTTTCCTAAACTCCGATGGCGCAGAAAACAGGGAATGAAGAAACCGAATTCAAGGTCGTACCTGAGAGCATCGCGTTGTGCGTGAAATGCGGTGTTCCGGGGAATTCCGCCGCCAATAATCTATGCCAGAAATGCTTCAGCAGCACCACCGCCGAGGCTTCGACCTCCGCCGTCGCGGCGGCGCCTGCGTCTTCATCCGGCGGAGCGAAGCCGAAAAGCCTCGTCTTCGGGGAGAAATCGTTCAGATCTAGATCCTCCACGAGATCCTCACCGGAGAGACGGTTGAATCTGCCTGTAACGGTTCTAGATCTGGAGAAAAATCCTTCCGCCGTCGCCGACGCTGCGCCGCCGGCGAAGAGAGAAGTCAACCGTTGCACCGGTTGCCGGAGGAAGGTCGGATTGACCGGATTTAGATGCCGGTGCGGCGAGCTTTTCTGCGCCGATCATCGGTACTCCGACCGCCACGATTGCAGCTACGACTACAAAACCGCCGGCCGTGAGGCGATCGCGAGGGAGAATCCGGTGGTCAAAGCTGCGAAAATAGTCAAAATTTGAATTTCGTGCCAAAAAAGAAAAAACAAGCCTTTTATATATATTTATGCAGGCAAGCAAATGAAATTCGATTAAGAAATGAAAATTTGGAACACTGTTGCTGCAGTTCCCTTCGCGCGTGGAGACGAAACGTAGAAGATGGAGATGGGAAGACTATAATATATGGGATTTTATAATTTCTATATTTAAAAAAAATTATGGAATTAAATTTTCTTGTGACAGAGATTATGAAATTTATTTTATCTCATCTTCGAGTGATTTTTTTTTCTTTTTTATTTTTTATAAATTTTTTTTTTCTTCTCTCATTTGCAGTTGAACTTTTTATTATTAATAATCAGTTTCATATTTGTATGTATGTCAAAAGTTTTTTTTTTTTTTTAATCCAGTTGAATAATATAAGAACATGATTAAATGTAATGGAAATTGATGTGTGTTTTCTGGGTTCAGCTGTATACTGATTATATCCCTTCAGAAAGGGTAATCAATTGGAAATATGGGTGAAGGAGAAGGGCAAAAATGTCATTTAAATGTGGGCAAGTTCACGGAAGGGGTAAATTAAAGATGATTTTAATTTTTATGTACAGCTTAATATTTTGGGTCAAATAATATTTAGGAAGTTGCCTTGGTAATTGGAAATTCATGTAGGGGAATGTTTTGGCTAAGTTTATAAGCTCTTAAAAATATTTTATATTTAAAAGCTTATAAGCTACTTAAAATTGTTTGATAAAAAAATGACAAAAGATCTCAAAGTACTTTTCTTTTTCTTGTTTGAAAAATTGCAACAATTTTTCAACTATAATTTTCTTACACATTTATTTTTAAGTACCAAATTGAGTGTTTTTTAAAATACGTGGAATATTCAAATTTCATATTTTGAAATAAGATGATTATAAGATGTATTGTTTAACTTGTAAATATCTGATTATGGTATATCATAAATGTATTTTTTTTATAAAACTATGCATTATTTTACAAAATATAGAAAATTGTGTTAAATTTTAGGCGTGTAATAAGATACATAGTCAGAGGTTGCCGTAATTTACCGACATATATATAAAGAAATGAAAATTGGAGACCCCAAACATGAATATAATCGAACTAGTTTGACAACTTGCGGATAGAAACGATGTATCTATCATGCCAGAAAGATGTACCAATATTTTTTCTGTTTTTCCTAGTCACGTTTGTCCCTTCATAATCATACACTTTGTATACTTTTATTTACTATATTTAATTTTATACATATTGTATTATATATATATACATGTGATATATTTGTAATACTTAATTCTTACTTCACTTTTAAGCTTGAGTAAAGTTGAAAATATAATATGAAAGAGTATCCTATTCTTTTATTAAGCTATTTCTTTAAGGACATTAACCTGTGCAGAAATTGAAATAAATAAAGTTGTTCCAAAATCGAAATTTTCAAAAAAGTTACATTTTTTTGTTCATCTATAATATAAAATACATAATAATATTGATATTATAAGAGAGAAATTAATAATTAATTTAAAAAAAAAAAACTATAGGACAAAATGCACTTCCCCCTACAAATTTCACATTTTCGCAGCCCCACAAAAAACTCAAAAACCAGATAATCCCCTTCAAAATATTATTTTGGTTGCACTTTGCCCCGTAAACCAATTTTTGTGTGGACATTGTGCAACAAAAATAACATTTAAAAGGGGCAATGTACAAAAATATAATATTTTTAAGGGGTACAAAAATAACATATAAAGGGGCTACGTGCAACAAAAATACTCAATTACGATGAATAATCCATCAAAATTTTGATATGGGGGCAATGTGCAACAAGTGCAAACATTAGAAATTTCAAGGGGGTGATGTGCAATTTGCCCAAAATTATATTTGAATCGAACAAAATCTCATATATATTAAGATCTCAATTCCAAAAAAAAAATTCTGGAAAATCAGAAATTTTCGAATTCAAAATCAACAAAATTCATATATTATTTTTTGATTTCCACCCCTACCCTCTTGAAACAAGGTCGATTACTTTGACAAAGTCAGATCCATTAATTGTTACATTAATAGCTACAGATCATAATACTATAGTATTATACTGTGCTTAAATCTATGTTACACCCGGTGAAGATCACACCGAATAAATCTTGCGTTTTTGTGCATAAATGAATGATAACGATATATAGGTGTAGCATAGAATAATAAACCATAGTATATAAATGTCTAGCGAGAATATAGCATATCGGAGTACCTTAATATTGCGATATTACAAACCAAATTAGAGAAAGTTGACACAAATTGATTATATTTTTCACCTATGCCATAGGTTATCGTTGTAAATATTGATTACGAAAAAAGTAGATGAAAATTTGAAAATGATCTCAGAAAGTTTGCGAAGCAGAGAAAGTAGGAAAACTGATACCAGAGAAAAACGAGACTATGCTCCATCGGGCTGGACGAATGGATTGGAAATTTCGTCTGTTCCATCTGTTGGAGAAACGAGCATCACTGCTGTTCCACGGCAAACCTGAAGTCGAAAAATCACAACAAAATAATGGTTTTCAGGCACACAAAAAAAAAAAAAAAGAAATACGAGAGTTTTTCAAAAGAGAAAAATCTGAGCAATAAGACGATACAAAAAGAAAGGCAATCATCAAAGCTCAACTGCTCAAGTATAACCTTGTCAAAGTAATCGACCTTGTTTATAGAGGGTAGGGGTGGAAATTGGAAAATAATTTATGAATTATGTCGATTTCGATCCGAAAAAATCAGATTTTTCCAGATTTTTTTTTTGAATCAGAATTGTAATAATATAAATGAGATTCTGATTTTCGATCGATTCCTATTAAAGATTTTTATTAGTACAATTTTGAAGCTAATTTAAGCATAGAAGATGACGACATTTACATAAGCACAATGAAAAGACATACTATTAAGCCAAGGCGACGTGTCTGATCAGTCGTCTTCAGTGGATCTTCTGGATCTGCATACAGAAAATAGTTAAACGTATAATATGAGGAAAACATCATAAGCTTCATACGGTTTAAGAAACATCTTAGGAGTTGATTAGAGCAAAACATTATTCCCATGAAGTCACGAGTATCTAATCGAGATGATATGAAATTGAATTAACCAATTGAAGAATGATATAACCGATGATTATTCAGAAGCAAACAAGAATTACAATACAATATGATATAATTTGTCGAAGTATTGCACAGACTAGCGATAACAGATCACTCAGCTCTCAGAAATGCTATAGCTTCATCCAGAACAAGATTCAACAATTGGTCATACCCTTTCAGCGTTCCAG